ACGATGCGACAATCCGTCAGTGTTCACGCTATCGTTCGATTTGAATTCGATTGTATTTTAATTCGACGTTCCGTGACTCCGTTATTTTCATTATTCAGAGTTCAACAAAATAAAAAAAAAATCGTTGATGGTACAACGATAATAAATTAGATATTAAATTAGAAAAAATGCATTATTGTAATGATACTTTCACTTATAGGCGCACCCTGTTTTGATCATCTGTATCGACAGAGGGACAGTGTCCAATAGTCTTACAGTATTCAAACACAACGATTTATATGTAATGTAGGGCAATAATGTAAAATTATTGTTCGTTAATGATTGACTCAAAAATAATGTAACTTTACCTTCATAACAGAACATTATAATGCGACATAAGCAATATAATACGTAATTTAATATACGCATTCGATGTTATAATAATATTATGTAGTTTGCGTTCATTTTGATATGGTGGGTAGGACTCGAAGAAAATAAAAATAAAGATTTATGGAAGTAGGAAGTTTCGTGTCATTTTCTACGTACATTCTTTAAAAAATAATAAATATACAAGTTTACTGTCCCCACTCCGCCAACACACGATTTCGAGAAAGTGACTGTGTTAAACTATTTTTTCATTGAGTACATTTTGTTTATCGGGGACCATGTTTGTGATTGTTTCACAGATGGGTCGAAGTATATTATATAGTTTGAACATTGAACTTATATTTCTTATCGTTATTGCCCTATTGAATCACAATTATTATATTTATGTACAGTTTGATAAAAGTAAAATTATTTGATTGTCTATTGGTAACATTGCCGGGTAATCGCCTACATTAATAAATGTGTGGAAAAAATTATTGAAATTATTTCTGTGTAGTGTGTATAATACAAATTGTATTACTTTGAAATCCCAACACAAAATATATTATGGCATTGACCGCGATGTCGTTACATGATTATTATGATTTATGATTTACGAGACCAGATATGAAGAATAAAGATCATTTTGGTGGTTTCTATTTCACATCATAATGTCGCAAGAAGACATAACCTATTATTTTAATTCTAAAGTAATTCCGCAATTACTGCTAAACATAATTATTAAGTAAGTACTCATTCTGTTACGTCGTATAAAAGCACATTGGATGAGCAATATATATTTTCATAACGACCGAAGTTCAAAAAAATCTAACACCAACATTAACGAGATAACATCGTTACGCAACGATAAAAGGAAAATAAATATTAGTGTAATACGTACACCTACTGATAAAAAATAATTCCTTTTGCAAATTTGGTTTTGGCTCTTTCGGTACATTTATAATTAGGTTGTTGGATGTATGTTTGTTTAGTGTTCAAAGTTTAAAATTGCTATCTTCCAATAAATAAATGAAATGTATTTGTGTACATCATACAGTACAGACTGCATACACTCGTGTTTAAAGTATATACAGGTATGCACTTGTAATGTGATACGTGTATAATATATCGTATATATTTCATATGTATTGTGAAACGATTATTGTGACATAATATGACATGTCATTGAATTTGTAAATATACTTTCGATTATCGTCATTAAGATTTATAAGTTAGTATATATCTACCTACCGATTCTACCGTGTGAAATTCAGTTTTAAATTGTGGAATAATTAATAATTATTACGTATATTATTTTATTGGTTCACGATTTAAAATATATCACGAAACCATCTTGGTTTATGTCGATTTCTGAATTATGATTATTATTTTTATAGTCATAATTATTTTGATTACTTAAAATTATTGTATGCAGGTTTGATTTTTTTTTTTTTCATTGGAATTTAAAAATATACATATCGTGTCACTCAATATCGTTTTTTTTTTTTTTTGTTCCAAGAAAGTTTTATGTCATTTTCATTGGCATGGAATTAGCAGTAGATTTGAAATTCGATCGTTTTAGGTCATTTTTTTTTTCCTTAAAAATATGATATTCTTTGTTTTTACATTTGATTCAACATGTTATTCTAGAAAATTGTTTAATATAAATAGATTTTCCACATTCGTTTCTTTACATACAATAATAATCGAATAAAAGTTTACAAAATACAAGCAAATAATAATCCTATGCATGTCGGACCCTGATGAAGTTGATATATCAATTTATTTTACAATCAATAATACCAATTGTATTTAAACTTATATAGTATTATGAATATACATTTTAAGAATATATTTTTGTAGATTTTTAATTTTTAATTTAGTAATCAATACTTAAATTAAAATATCTTAAATTTGAATATCTAAACAAAAATGAATAAAATTATTGAAAACGAGTAATTTACACAATCAGTAATATACTTTCTGGTATGTAAATTAATATTATTTTATAAACACAAATGTACGGATTTTAGACTTAAATAATATTGTAAGAAGACGATTAATAACATTAAGAACAACGAGAACGAAATTGTTACGTCACATCTTGTTATAATTTCTGGTAATTAAAAATGTGTGTATTGTATGATAAATGTATGAGAACAAAAACGCTTTTTGTTTCCAACCTCTGACAATTATTATCTTAATTCATTTTGATGTTCACGTTTTAAACGTTTTATCGAAATTATTATAATATTATGATATTTCACATTGTACACGTGAAGTCAATGTTGATAATGTTGTTCACTTGTTCATCATAAATCCCACGTCAAGAAATGTTTTATATTCATTTAATGGCGTATTTTTGAGTGTATCGTTTTGAGTCTTGTCGATGGTTGCTTTTACATACTCCAAAGTCAAAATAAAAATATTTCTCCGATTGTATTTGCTAACTTAGTTAGGTTAGGTTCAAAGAAGGAATACGGTGAATTTATCAAATTAAATAATTTTATACTTTTAAATAAGAACCAAAAATATTTTATCCATACATTTTTGAAATATTTTGAATTATGTTATATTAACAAATAAAATAATAATTTTAAACTTTAACGAACAGTAAGTACACAGTACAAAGAAATTCAGCATTATCTAACGCATTATCGATAATGATCAGCGTATCTCTTGATACATTTTGACTTCATTGGAATTAATGACCTTTCAACAAATATTTATGAATATTTTTGTTTGTCAGGTTTTTTTTTAACTTCACATCACTTTTTTCTTAAGTTGAAAACTTTTATAATCTAAGTTTTTAACTTTTTTAACTATCAAGTAGTAAGTTTGATATTTATTTTAATTGATTTCTCATTTAATATTAGATAGTGAAAAAAATGTGAACAATATATACATACAGTGGTGTGTCTGTGTGTGTTGGACCGATTGTGTGTCTTTTATATATGTGTATTCTTAATCCTATTACGTATAAAATAATAATTTAATATACTTATGACTTTTTAATATTATTTATTATAAAAATATTACAATTTAATATTCGTGTATTCAATTTCTAATTTCGTTACTTAAATTTGTCTAATTAATTAATAAATAATAATCTATTATTTATGTAAGATTTTTCTTTATATACTTGATATTTTTTCTCTTGAAAATTACACATTTTCAGAAAAATCATTAAATATAAAAACTATGTCATTGAATAAATTGAAAACTAACAGTATTTATATTAACTATTGTAGGACGTCATATATACGTAATATGTTTAGAGTAATAATAATAATAATACAACTTAATACTTATAATAGTATTATAGAGTATTATGCACTTGACTAAGTTTTCACTGATTGTTTTTATTCCCCTTATTAGTAAAGTTATTGTGTCCGGTAAGGAGCAACACGCTGCCGCTGACACCAGTTGAAGGAAGACCCGTCTGGTCTCGATGATATAATATTATTGTTATTATTATCATAGTTTTTTTTCATGGTGGATGAGAGGAAGAAAGTTTCTTTTACCGTCTTGCATTTAAATGTATACACAGTACAATTGTAGAAAATATGTCAGTTTTGGTGACATGACGTAACAACTGCTCGTTAGTCGTTACTTTTGAAGTAATGACAGTAACGTGTTGTTAGTTTTATTATTTTCGATATAATTAATGCATGCCATGTCGGCGTTCTACATAGTATGTGTTATCAAATAACTCTTATCTAGATTGCAACTGTTGTAATATTCATATTTTAATTTTAAAATCAAACATTTTGTATGCATTTTAAATAAAGATTGCTCTATTATTCTTAAAATGTTTTTAAATATTTAAATATTTATTTATTAAATGTACGGTAGTCCAAGAAAATATTTTCAAATTATAACTATTCAGCATAAACTGTAACAAAAAACAATGATATACCTATTACCATTGAGTATATAGTATAATTTATATACTCAATGCTATTACTTAAACAATAAAACTTCTACAATGACTAACTCATTAATAAATCCAACCTAACATATTATTTTTCGTTTATGATGCGAACTAAAAAACTTCCTACTTTGTACTTTTTTTTACGGTAACGAGTGACGTTTTTTAGAAGTAATTTAGTGCTTACCCATCCCGGATTCAAATATATCATCGTTTGTCTATGACCTACCAGAAGTGTGTACCTTAGATCATTATACTAGTCTAGGTGTTTATTTTACAGTAGCGTTTTAATGCGAATAAAACAATGTATACACGATGTGGCCCGTGATAGCATTACCTGCTGTAATATTATGATATGAACATAAATTATAATAATAACGTTTTGTCGAACGGGACCTTTCGAAAGGTTTGGAATTTGTTGTTGGGAGGCATTGTGTCTTGGGCGGCGGCGCGGGGCCTTGCGAGCGCGAGCCCGCCGGCTGGTGGCCGGTGCAATGGCGGAGCGGGTGCGAGCCGAGCATGCCGAGTGCCGACCGACCGATCTGTTTCATCGATTCGCGCGCGCCTCGGCGGCGGCGGTGGGGATAACCCCTCGCCGCTGCTGCACACTCTTTCTCTCTCACGTCCGCCGCGCACGCTCTTGCGCGAGCGTTATTCCAATGGGAGGGGATGGAAAGGCACGGTGGACGGGGAGCCGTACGTTCGTTCATTTTCCCGTATCCAATCCATTCGTCAGATTGTGTTTGTGCCACTGGGCGTCTGTGTCGGTTTGCAAAACATTTCTCAGTTTTCGTTTCACTGTGCACAGGCACACGCACGCACGAAATCGTCGGCGTTGTTATTATTATTCTATTATATATATATTTTTTTTCATTTGTTTCGAATTGGTTTTTATTATTGTCATCTTCGTTGTTATTATCGAATCGTATCAATCTTTATTAGCATAATAAAAAATCGTTAATCTTATATACGTTGTTCGTCGCGTTTGTTTTTTACCCACAATATTTTATCACCCGCCGTCGTCGTCCGCGTTTACTAGATATTTTTACCGAGCAGTTCTTTTCTCCCTACGTCCGCGCCACACGCCGGTTTTCGAACGCGTCGTGTAAACGTAACCTACTGCTTGCCGATTTTTTAACTTCTCCCAGAATCGATCATCACCGAAACGAACGCATTGGAGACGCGCCATCGAAGTGTAGCATGTTAGGCCGTCAGACGTCCGCCCTTCTACATTTGTGATAAGCAAAGTTTTTCGATACGGCCTCAAGCTGTGGACTGCAACGCCCTATTTGATTCCCCATCAGGGGCTATACTATCCAGTGAGTACAACGTAAACATTAAATCATGAAATATGTGTAAACTAATAGGAATCGACGTCGCGCGGCGCATCCGATGATGACGATTACTATGTAGGCTTAGAGCTCATAGTTGTTTAGAAATCGCCGCGTCGCGTGCGTGTGTGAGACTCGTCGGCCGCCGCCGGGAGGATTGTACCCAATATAGCGTATTATTGTCGGCCGACTGGGCTGTGCGCGCGCGTTTATGACGATGGCGATTAAGACTAGTCTGGATTCGGCCTTCGGCGGATGTGTATTGTATACCTGCTTTGAAAATCTTATCTCGTCGAGACGTTTCGTTGTTGCAACTATATTTTACCCGGGCCATTAACCGCTCCACTCGCCGTACCTGTGTCATCAGTAAAATAAAATTTAATTAATATTATATAATAGTATATTGTACCTATAGTAAGTCATTACCGTTACATTGGTTCAAATAAAAACTAAGGTTTTCTGTATAGAAAAAACGCGTTTGTTGCATGACATTATCATTATTTCTCATTCTTGGCTCTCGCGCGTATAATAATATTTGGAACGCGCCCCCTCATTGACACCTGATAAATCTCGTCGTTGTTGTCCGAAATATTTCAAAAAACCCCAACTTTTATGTGTGCCCAGTTTTTCAACTTAAGTATTCGTGGGGGGTAATAATTGTCGCCGTCACCTCAGTCTACGAGTTATTTTTAATGACCCTCGCCAACAGCGCAGCCAAGTGGACTAATAATATTTTGTTTCGAAAATCGCACACAATTTCGTTCGCCCTAATTCTTGGAACGTCATATTTGAGTGTTTTTGTAGAAGTTTAAAAAGGTTCCGTAAATATGCCACTGCTACTACTGTTGTAGGCGGAAGAAGCTTAGGTATGAGTACCTATTTCATATATTAATTACATGACGAATAAAATATGCTATAAAATTATTTACATATATATTGTTCGTGACATATGAAAAATTAGGAGTTATTATTTTTCTCTGCCTGTTGATGGCTATTCTAGTTGTGTAAACACGAAACAAAAGTCCATTACACTAATTACAATGACCCCGCTGACCGCGTTCACCATTACTCCCTCTTTCTCCTCTGCTTCTTTTGCTTCAACGTTAACCGTATAACGAAGAGTCTATTTCATAAATTATAACGATAATAATATTTATACATTTAAAAAATGTCCTTAAAAACGAAATAAACGAAAAAAATGCAGTTTTCAAATAATGTGATGTTATAAGTAGTATCTTTTCGCTCCTTGGACCGACGCAGCCGTCCGCTTCAAGCCCTTCCTCAGCTCTCCAAACGATCGATATTCGTATAATACAATTCGTCTGTATATATCAGGCTCGATGTGAGTTTATATATTATTAAGTGCTCAGCCGTGTTTTCGCATTTTTATTTTTACTCGACAGTCCGCTAGCTTTTCAACGTATTCATTTCTCTTTTCTACTTTTATCTAAATAAAAGTTTAACTTTTTCTAAAATTTACGATACGGGCATTCTGATATTTTTTGCATTCATCGGCGTCTTGTACGACGACCCACTTATCAACTACCCTCCAACCATCATAATCGTGAAAAGAGGTTTTTTATTCCCGTTCAATGACATATTATATTACGACCTACGATTTATCGAGTAGATTGAATAATAGTATCGCTGTACATTTTATGTATCCTATATACGTGTATAGGTTGTATAAACAAAAGGTTTTTTTGACAATGAAACGTGGTATTGAATTTTGTGCTTGACTAAAAAAAAAAAGAATGTTTTTCCCCTATTTTGGTCGATGTATATTTTTATGTATTTTTTTTTTTTTTTTTGTACAAGTACCTACAACGCATGTGATATTTTTACGGGACGGCTGCTCATATATGTAACTGACGAATGAATTATATATGACACGAGTCGAGCAATACAGTATTGCCGGTTGCCAAGCAAACGTTTAAATATCGTTTGCAAATGGTGAGAAAAAAAAGCTTATTGTAATTCTCGTAAATGAAATTGGTTTGGGAAACTTGGCACGGTCAACTCCCGCGCAATGGTCTCAGTGATAGTTAATTTGTTTCCTCGTAATTAGCGGATTTATATACTAACTATCGCTGTAAAATTACCTTTTATATTATTATTGTATGAAACCTAGTGTCCATTGACCATATGGACTGTGGCCAACCGTGGAGTACACAATAACATGTGTTTGATTTTAAATACGTTCGAAAACCGTATATATATTTTTTTATTTTATCGTCATTAACTTTTTGCAATTATATATAGTTTTCGTCAATCAAGGCAATATTTTGGAAAACGAATACATTTTTAATTTTAATGACAGCCATTGAAAAATTTAAGTTACCTAATGTGTTCTAAAAACTAAAAAACAGTAATTTTATTTCTTAAGATATTAAAAATGCATTGCCGGATTGACGATAAAATATTATCACTATATTGACAAAAATGTTACGCTAACTGTTAAGTAGATTTCTTTGAAAACAGTTTTAAACAAAGATATATTATCAGTCGTATATAATAAAAAACTTTTAAGACACCTTGTTAATATTTAGACCTAATACGTGTCGAATAAACTTTAGATGTCGTCAGTTGAAAACACCAGAATTCATTCCGTATGTTTATACTCTATATAAATATTAAAATTTTTCAAGATCTCATCCGTACACATGCTTATGATGTATATACAGTATAGTATAATCGCATATTCGATGAAAATCCTGATAACGGTGTTTAAGACTGTTCACACCTAATACTATCTTTATGTGTATCGAATTGTGTACACCGTATGCATATATTATTATTTGTATGTAGTATAGACAATATTAAAGTAATATTACATCGCTAATCGTTTAATTTTGTCGCGATTAAATATTATTAATAAATCAGTATACCTAAGGTACGACGACGATATTTTTGCAGATAAAAACGATTTTGTTCGATCGTGTATATCAATTAGCCTTCAGGCCTCGAATTCGCGCTCTGTCCAAATATCGTTGGTATTGTCGGTCGTTCGTTTGCTCGATTATAATAATATTTTAGTTTATTGAAAGCTAGCAGACATTGAGACAACGACAATTATATAATTTTTTTTTCGGCTTATCATATTCTTTGATTGTGTATGTAATATAAATGAACAATTTCCTCTCTGATGAGGGGCGGCACTACTATAGTCTGTGTTATTTCAGTTAAATTTTTTTCTTCAGCCGCGGTGTTATGTGTGTTCCTCGTGTGTGGAAGTCGCTCAAGAGAAACACATGTCAAGGGGGGCCTCACATAATTTATTTATCCTGTCTGCCCGTGATGGGGTTACGTAGGGAGTGGACGGGGGCGGCTCTCGCACATCTGTTCTACGTCGTTTATATATATACATATATCTTTAGATAGATGTATGTATAACGTACCGAGAACGAAATAATAATAATAATAATAATTATATATATATGTACACGTTATACGTGTTTTATAGATATATACGGTAAAAGAGTATAGGATGCGTCTCGACGTGCCGCGCTGTAGTTGTGGCGTTGGTGGAGGCAGTGATGGTGGGAAAATGCCATTAAAAACGCACTCGAAACATTGATTTTCTCTCCCCGACTCACTAAACGAGAACTGAAGGTACGACGACACGAATAGTGTCCCTCGTAGAGGTTATCGTCGTCGACTGAGCAGTTGATATCGTTATATATAAATTTATTATTTAGGTCGAAATTAGTCGAGATCGCGACTCCGGGATTCTATTTCGTTTGGATGTCGTCATTGTACATATTGATCCATGGAGCGTGTTTTAAAAACTTTTTTAATACTACTAACAGACTATCCTATGTGTTAGATCAGAATAATTTAAGATTTCATACTTTAGACGACTATAATAGTATATTTCATGATTGATTTGCAATATAATCGATAAAACAACAAATCTAATTTCACTCCAAAAGAAAAAAACATTTATCCGAACGATAATCATTTGCTCTACGGTCACAAAGAAAAATGATTTAACTTTTTTGTTGCTCGATGACATTCGTTTTGTTTTTTCCAAACATGTCTCTCACGTCAGTCATAATACGTTTACGGTGTTTTATAATTATACAATTGAACTGTATCAACGCGACGGCTGTAATCTTAACGAAAATAACAAAGATCTCCCACGCGGTTTCTAAAAATTATTTGTCATTTGTCAATTGTAGCCTGCAGGGTTCTGGGAAATATTTTGGTTTTTATATAATAATTATTACTATTTTCGTTTTCTCTCGCAGACTTTGGGCAGTAAACTCTACGTATATACAATTAGGTCCACCAAAAGATTATTTGCTATTGTTATCTTGATAAAAGTGAAAGCTTTTATATCGTTTATTATGATATCTGTGATAACAATAGTTCAATGAATCGCATGTGATGCTCATACTTTGCATTGATTGACACGAAAATGGGGTGTATAAGTTGGTGTAATGTCAAGACTCCAAGTCGGTTTTTTTATTTGGATCGACAACAGTTATAAATTAAATTAAAAAGGAATAAAATCTTAAAACAATCATTGTCTGTCGAAGTAACTGTCGATTGTTAAAAATACCAGTGATAAGTATGGATTTCAAAGTACATTTTAGTTGTCTCGTATACCATCATAACAACAAATTATACTCGTCCGGTTTTGTGTAGTCTATTTACTTTTTACTTTATTTTTCGTTACCGCAGCGCCCACATCCTGTAATCACAACGGATTCCTTGCAAGAGGCACACCCAACCTCGTTGCAACTGCTGCACCTATTCAGTGGCGGTGCAATGTGATGAGATAACACAGTATTTTAAATTATCATAACAATAATCTAGTTTCCCGATGTTTTTCATTGCAGATCATATTTTGCGTTATCACATATTATCTCACCAACAGTTTTTAAACATTTTTCGCAATAAGTATATTATTCCACATACGATATGCAGATAATTATAAATAGGTAGTCATTATGTCTACAGTTGAATCTATAGGATTTATCGTA